AGCGGCCGCTACATTTTCAGTAGCGGTAGCGGCGCTACATTTAAGCACTTTTAGCGGTAGCAGTAGGGCCCGCTACATACTATTTGAGTAGCAATAAGAGGTTTTGCCGCTACAGCGCTGCCGCTACAGCGCTACCGCTACATTTATAGATAACGCCTTTAGATTTTACTTGATAGAATTAAATATTATTTTAAAACCAGAATGATACATACATAATATAAATTACAGAATAAAACTGTACGAAAGATTTCGGTGTAATGTTGTCAAACTCAGCCTGTTACTAGTGTCAACATGTTAGTTGTTACTTGTTAAGTTGTTACCAGTTACCAATTGTTCTTGTCTAATATAAAATAAAGCGAATGTGTTTGTAACTCAAAAATGAAAATATATTTGCTTTCAGGGGACATGAGATTCTTAAAGGAATATATTCTGGTTCTGAAGCCTGTTGCAGTGAGCCTCGACATCCTTCAAGGCGAAGAAAAATCCTTCATGGGGCTTCTCGTCCCTGTTATTAATGTATGTGTCCAGAAGTTGAAGGCGAGTAAGGATAAAAATTTATGCTACTGCGCACCTCTTGTGGATGCTTTATTAATGGGCATTCAAACCAGGTTTTCCAAACAACTGGAAGACCTCGATTGCATTATCGCTTCATTTTTTCACCCCCAATACAAATTAACCTGGTGTAAAGACGAATCTAAACTTAGAGAGATCCGGCAGAAAATGATCTCTCTGGTTGATGGGAAGCTTTCTGACACAATTACACAAGCTACCAGCAGCAGCAGCGATGACGAGGAGAATGCTGATTCGTTCTTTAATGAACTCCAGAAATCACGAAATCACAGTCACGTCAATGAAGGAGATCGACTAGTGAACAATATTTGGAAAGTCCGCTAAGCGCCACTTTACCTGCTCCTGAATCATTTCCTTATAACCTGTTCCTTGAGATTTTTGTAGAGTACAACACTCCAATCCATTCTAGTGCTGCGGTGGAGAGGTTTTCCGTGGGAAAGGATATCTCCAAAGCGTTCAAGCTTGTCGGATGTTCATTTTGAAATGCTGGTATGTATAAAATTATCTTGACTAAGATATTTCCAGTTGGACGTTTATTATTTGGGTTTGAGTTAGTTGTAAGTTTATTTGGCCGGCTGCAGTTTCCCAACATTTTTTGCAATAGTGTCGGCAACCTTCCGCATTTCTTCGAATCCAACTTTGAAGATTGAGGCTAAACTCAAACCTCTAGTCCGATTCAGAAACAGCCCAGCAGACAGATCCATTACGACTGCCAACGACGCATCACCTTCAAGCTTTGTCCTCCACGTCTACGTTATGAAGTGAGACCTGTAGCGTGCGTCTCGTCTGAGGTGGCGGCCTCGAGGTGTTGGGATGACCTGGGGGCTTCGGCATCAGCTCGTCTTCTTACGGAGGACGGGTCTCTGCGAGAGCTGTGGAGAGGACCGGATGCTGTAGGTTGGTTGTCCGTCACTTAAGCTCAGGGTGTTGTGACGACTTGTAGCCCCGGCCGGTTTCCATTATGGATAACCGTTACCCCTTCACTACTCTCAACCCAAATAATAAAACCCGTCTTGTCTTACAACTGAAATATATGCTATATACCTTTGAAAGCCAAATTTGTTGTATAAATCTCTTATTCTAAGATTATCATTTAAATTTAAAGAGCATAGCTGCCAGGTTCGTAAATGTAAGATTTAATATTTAGAACCCTAACATTCAGCTTGTTCCAATTTTTTCTTTTGGCTTTCGTTCATTAAAATCAGTTGGCATTTATTTTGACAGGATGGGCTGCACGGAGCTTAGCGTGTCAGTTTCCCTGTGCTACCTGGCTGGTTTACACTAGCCAGGTGAAGCTCCTGCTCCCGTTTCAGAGGACTTCCACCGGGCAGCAGCTCGCGCCTATCGTCTTTGTTCCATTTTTTGTCTTTAATCGACACAAATTCGGTTCAATAAATTCAGTTTAAGTGAATAGTTTTCTTTACATTATTCCATACAAGTGTAATTAACTCTTTCCTTCCGCTGAAAAGGGAGGTCGCGCTAAAAGTTTTGTGCATGGTATTTTTAAAAGAAAAAATTTAACTAAATGGAAATATTATTCCGTGTTGTTTGGTTGCGAGTAAATGTTTTTTTTTTTTATATTTCAATTTGTTTACGACTTGCGAGTAAATGTTACAGGTATTGTTATGCTTCAGTTTGCTTGCAGGTAAACGTTACAGGTATTTATATATTTCACTTTGCTTGCGACTGGCGAGTAAATGTTACAGGTATTGTTTTCATTTTTAATTTTGCTTACAGTTATTTTTTCACAGTTATTTTTATGTTTCACCTTCTCTATATGGATGTCTACTTTAATCTACCAATCTCAAAAATTATCCACATTTATATATACAAATAAAAAACTGATTTTTTATATGTATATGTGGATAATTTTTGAGATAGGTAGATTGAAGTAGACGTCCATGTAGGGAAGGTAAAACATAAAAATAACTAAATTTTATTTACTGCATCTAACCCGTACTATTTCGGTTAGGTTAATTGCAATAAAGTTGCATTGATATGTTTTAAAAATGTTTTATTATCATTAAATGTTTATGAGTAAATCCCAATAGCAGAACAATAAATATTTAGAGATTTCCAATATTTTCGGCCATTGTAGCGGTTAATGTAGCGGCGCTACATTTTACTGTAGCGGTAGCGCCCGCTACAATCTAGTGGGTGTAGCGGTAGCGGTAGCGCCCGCTACATTTCGAGCATATGTAGCGGTAGCGGCCGCAACATTTCAAAGTAGCGCTGCCTAGCTCTGCTTAAATGTAGCACTTCTTCCAATGGACACCAGTTATCTCATGCATACCTCCATCTGGCAGGCCATTTTCCTTTGGTATCGTCAGGGCTACACCTTCAAATCATCCCAAGCTCCAGACGCTCATTTAAGTCATAACTCGAGGTCTAGTTGGATCCGCTGGGAATTTTCTACACCAGAGCAAGTTAGGGAGGCCGGCTTATGATCGCTGTCAGTTGATCTGCTTAAAAGCAGCGAGTTTCATCGATCGCAACAGCAGCAGCAGCAAGATTAGGGGGCAGATTGTGGTGCATGTTTTACATATTACTGCCGTTTACTCGCCGGCGGACGAGAAGGTTTTTATACTTTCCACTCTGGTGAAATTTCGTGAAATGTTGCACTTAAAAATGTACACAGTCGGCCATACGCTCGGCGAACAAATTTTCTGGAATGAAGAGTCGCGGCAGCGTCCGAAATTGCGCTCATATCGAGCACTTGTCGGTGGGCTGGAGAAGGTTTGTGCCAGAGGCAGGAATATGATGGCAGGAGGAAAATTATGTTAGTCTTGAAGCAGCGGAAGGCAGGTGAAGGTTAACTGGTACAAGAGATAGACAGGTGAAGGCTGGTCTTTGCTGGAGACATTCGTGTTATGATAAGTTAGGGTGCAGCCGAAGAGTCAAAGGCTGGGTTGTATTGCAGACAGACAGGGGAAGGCTGGTATGTACTAGAGTCGAACAGGTAAAGGCAAGTTTTTCATAAGATGGACAGATGAGGCTGGCTTGCATTGGAGACAGGCTGGAGAGAAACATGACAGGTACGTGCTAAATGCTAAAGGCAATTGGGAAAATTCAAGCTGATTTTATAGTAAATGAGGTAATAGCTAATTCATGATAGGTGCAGGTTTGTGAAGGAAGCTTAACGCAAGAAACTATAAAGAGGTGCTCATGCCGGCAGGAGGAGACAAGCAGGTTGAAGTAATTTAATTCTAGAGTCAATTACTGGAAACAAGGGTCGGGCTTAAATGAAAAGTAGTAACAGGCTTGATGAACCCGATTGTGGTATTTTTGGATTTGAAACGGAATTTCCGCTCACAAATTCATCTGTAAGCAATCTCAAACTTACTTTTAATAGCAACTGCCAGATGGTTTCAAGGAAGTTTTTTGAACAGTCTAGGTAGTTTAGAATAAATAATTTACAGGCCACCACGCGTCAAGCTGCGTCCGTTTGAACCTGTTGGTACATTCGTTTATGTTGAAAACGTCTTTTTTCTTGTAGATAAATTTGTTTTTTTTTACCCCCACCCAAACAATGTCATTGCTATACTCTACTTGACGCGGCTGCTACTCGGCACGCTTCCTCTCTTAATACGACGTTGATGTCAGCGTGTGAGCCGATGACACTTTCATGACACCGCAGGATGCGCGACTCTGAATTATGCTATTATTTTGTTCAGGACCTTCCGGGCCCTGGCCCGCTATAACGATCCTGCTGTGTGGGGTTACAGTGGACCTCTTGCTGCTGTGTGGGGTTACAGTGGACCTCTTGCTGCTGTGTGGGGTTACAGTGGACCTCTTGCTGCTGTGTGGGGTTACAAGGAGCCCGTGTATGAAGTGTGTGGCAATTAGACACAACCGATTCAATAATTGATTAAGTGCGAGTGAACGAAAGTGTAGGCGAGACACATTCAAAAATTGTAATATCGATGTAAAATTTTATTTATTAATGGTTCGTATTAGATCATAGAATGTTCGTTAGAATTCACATCCAATATCTATCAACAACGCTGTCATGATTAAATTTATGAACGGTTTTTCTGCATTAACATTTTATTACAACATTTTCACATGCTATAAATGATATTATATTTAAATGTTTCTTCTAATAAACAGTAGGAAATTTACTAAAAATCTGAGGCAAATGCAAACTGAATTTTATGATAATCTAATTACCAGAACCGAGTAATGAAAATTGAGCACAAATTTGCGACGCCAATTTTAATTACGACAATTCATTTAAGTTGACATAACGAAACATTTTGAAGCAACAGGGACAAGAATATACTTGAATATGATTGTTAGCAAATTTAGCAGAAAAGTATTACTTATCGCTTCGTCAAGATTAAAAATATATAAAGTATCGAAATATCTTTTATTATGTTGTGAGTATCTTTAACACTTTTGCTGCAGATATAGGAGTAAATAAATAGGAATGCAGTATCTGTGTCATTTAAGTAATGTTGCTCAGAGACATAATGTGAAAAATAAAGTGCAACTCTTCAATCAAACTTGTGATTTGCTCTCTGGCTTCTCTTACTATTCTTAAAACAATATATTTAAATGCACACAGATCAATTTAAAAATAACTAGGTCAATGCGTATATCCAGTATACCTATAGTTTATATTAAAGCTATGTTGTAAACTTAAATTGACTAATAATACTTTTATGGTGGGATGTAAGAACACGGATTTAGACGTTCGTTTGCTGATTAATTAAGCAGATACATGAACGACAGTTATGATGTTCAAGGACTTGTTGACACAGATGATTCTCACAAATGGCCCAAATTTAAACTTAAATTTTAGAATTTAATGCATTCAAATGGCGGTTTCCGTTTTTATTCATATTAATGTTAGGAACGAATATTTTATGATTAATGCTCCAAAATTTTAACCTAATAAAGACCTAAGAACGAGGTCATTCTTAGAAAATTAGGAATTTATTAAACTTAATTCTGCATTTTATTTATGGTGGCTTTTAATTCAACTTTACCTGAAGTCATTAAGATTATTTAGGAGTACAGCACAAGGTTGCTTTGTTTACTCTAAGGTTCATGATATGTGTTCTGCAATATAGAAATTACGCTAAATTTATATTATTTATCTTTTCAGTTGCAATTCCACTCTGTACGTAACGATTATTAAATGCTTCACAATACATTCGCGGCGGCTTCCCTGAACATTGCATATAATATTAATAGGTTTTTTTATTTGGTGGTAGTTTATTTGAAGTCTCGAAATTTTAATCACGTCAAATATCTGAAATGTATAGGAACAGAAATTTTATTTTAAGTCTTGGAATTACGAGGCAGTGCAAATCACTGTCAGAGTGTGTTAAGAGGAAGAGGAGGTTGTAATACAATATTTAATACTACATTTTGATTTAAACTTAACTCATGTCAGAAATTAAAATTTTCTTCAAAGCGCGTAACATGAGTTCACTGGAAATTATATGTTTAGGTTGGTTTAAAGGGATTTCTCTCCTACTAATATTACTTTATTTAGTAAATCAGCTAAAGGCTTCAGAATTAGGGGGACTCGTTTAACGGTGTTATGAATAACTAGATGCGAGATAAAGGATTTTCCAAATTTCAGATATTATTTTTCATACTTAATTTTAAATGTTTTTTTTTCGTAGATGAGAAAGAATGTCCTCTACATATGAGCCTCGAAAATTGCCATCGTATTGCTTATTTCTCGAATGTAACTGTGATTTATTGAGAAGAAGTTGCTATAATGGCCATGAAGCTGTATTATATCAATTCTAAGACGTCAGAATTGAAGGAGTAAATATTCATCAATTCAAAGTGAGACAACAAAGTATTCTAAACCAGGAAATAAGAGGCATTTAAATGAATAGTAAGAAAATTTATAACAAAGTCAAATTTGATCTTTATTATGCTGATAGTGATCTTTGAGATGACGGATTTGATCTTCAGTAAGCTGGATGAGATCTCTAACGACAAGTAATATACTCGTAAATTTAATTGTTATATTGAATTCTCAAAGAAGGAAACAAACTGTTGCTGAGAACCATTTCATAACTACGTATCTATAGTGAATATAGGAGACAGAGGTATGTTTTGCACAGTTAGGATAGGAGCACAGTCCAATTGCACAGTTTAAAGCAATTTTACCAATAGTTGAATGTTAGATCATATGGGCCTCTTTCTTGACGTTCGAGACGCAGAGTTGGCAGAGGCAAGAGTTGCTGTTGACCGTGCAGAACAAGAATATTGCTATGACCAGGATCAGCGCTGCAAACAAAGAAAAACAATGAAATATAATTTTCCTGGAGGTGAATGTGGCTCAAGGTATGAATTGTGTTGAGATTATGGAGGATGAATGAGGTCCAAGGTATGAATTGTGTTGAGATTATGGAGGATGAATGAGGCCCAAGGAATGAATTGTGTTGAGATTATTTGGAGGGTGAATGAGGCCCAAGGTATGAATTGTGTTGAGATAATGGATGATGAATGAGGTCCAAGGTATGAATTGTGTTGAGATTATGGAGGATGAATGAGGCCGAAGATAAAAATTTGTGTCAAGGCTATGGGGGTGAATGAATGCCAATGCAGCGAATGTATTCAGACTTTGGAGTGTGAATGACGCCTAGGGAAAAACAGAGTTGAGCTTATGATGTAAATGAGGTTCGTATAAAAACTTTCGTCGAGGCTATGCAATGAGGTGAATAAAGCCCACGGTAAAATATGGGACTGGATTTGGAATGGGTATAAATTGCGTAGAGACTCTTGGGGACGAATGAGTCTCCTTGAAATAATGGATCCGTGGATGGGAAATTTTCGATCGTATGGGTAAAGCGATTTCGGGAGTGGAATGTTATCGAAATCAGTATACCAGAAGATGAACCTGGATCAATTCATCACTGGATGGATAAACATTTTAATGTTATCATTAAAAATCCATATATTTCGTAATTTTGTCGGGAATTGATGACGTATCGGTGAAAAATAATGAAAAAATTAAATGAAAAGTCAGAATAATTAAAGTCATTAATAATTTCCATCAACTGTCTTTTGTAGAACATTTTGATATGGTGGAAAAACTACGAATTCATGCAATAAAATGATTGAACTATTCAGTTAGATATATAACGAACTGAATAATTAAATGAATTTTTTAATCAAGTGAATTTTTTTATCAAGTGAATTTTTTAACGAAGCAATAATAATTTTTTAATAATAATGTATTGAAGTTAATCATGAATGACGTACCGATGAATGAAGGGACCGTCACGTTCAAGAAGTGGCTGTTGGCCTCAGCGTACTTGTTGGGGTCCTCAGGCGGTGCCGTCGTGATCCCTCCAATGCCTGAGGGTCGTCAAGGTAATTCAGGGTTCACGAAAATAAAAATTCGAATTATAAACAACAAAGCAAAACAATTTTACAAAATTTAAATATGAAACCTGTCTCGTTCGAACAGGTTTAAAATAGTTGGATTAATGAGTTTAGTAATAAAAAAATACAACTCCGTACTCACTGCAGTGAGTGACAAGAGAGCGCATTTTCTCGTTGACGAAAACTTGGTCACGGACGGACGGATAGACAGACAGACAGACAGACGGACATGGCGGGCACAATAGCGCATTTTTTTCATAAATGAGAAAATGCGCTAAAAAGCTGACAAGTAAAATACATACGTATGTTGATGGCAAATTTTTGTATGACATTTCGTAATTTTCTAACTATTATTTGTCAGAAAACCAGGTGAGTCGAAAATTTTTCTAGGTTTATATTTTTTCTATTAGGACGTTTTCGCAAATTACATTAAGTATTTAAAACTCTATTCAAATTCCGGGTAACTATTGTTACAGTCAGTAAGCAGTGGGGTGAAAAGAGCTAAATTGACGTTATTCATCTATTTTGACTCGTTGAGTATACAAGGTAAAACTGCTTGTACATTTTTTCATGTGACACTTTCCAAAAAAATGCATTAACTACTAGATTTTTTACTGAAATGAGTCACTTGGGTTACTGTCACTAGGCCATAAAAAAGCTGAATGTACTTGATTCATCATATAGATTCATGACATCAACATAAGAGTCTGCGTCGCTCACCGTCGTCGAGGAGGTTGGTGTCCGAGCTGGACCTCGTTGTCGTCGTGGCGGAGCTGCTTGGAGCTGCGATAATTACGACAGATAATTATATTATGTATTATGAACAATAAAAAATGAATACAATTATTTAATTAGCGTGAGAAACTAATTTGGAAACTTATTTATGAATATGGAGTGCATTATCCAGGGTAAAATACTTTAAAGTCAAGATTAAAGCGTTCAAGATATCCTCATGAATTGTAAATTCAAAGTTTTATGTAAAGTTGCATAATTCACTGAAAATTTACTCGAAATATCTAATTGAATTTGGACTGGGTCAAAATTTTCAAATTTTATTGAAGTCGCCGTTTCTGAGCATTCGTTTGTTATTCATTTCGTGAGATTACCAAGACGAAGTGCACAAATTTCTATAATGCGGTTCTGTTGGCAATTTCGATGCTTATGAAAATCGATTTCCGTTCACAGTAATAATTTATTTTATTAAAATCCAAATTTGATAAAAAATAATAAGTTTTCTCACCTGAGTTCACAGTGTCTGATACGGTGACGTAGGTTCCATTTTCTGTGAAAATAAAAGAACAGGAGTTAAGAGAGAAAAAAAAGCGTGTAGTCAATAATCTTCGTTGCATGCGCTGCAAACGGGCGAAGAGTTGTGAGACGAATTCACGATGCGCTCAACTTTATATGAGAAAGGAGATGAAATGACTAAACTGGCAAGTCAATGTATATTTGTAAAAAAATTACATTTCGACAATTACTGAAAAGAACGATTTTTTCAATAACGTTTGTCAGATACGTTTGTCAATTCTTCCAAGCATGAATTTATGTTAAAGCGATTACGAACCACCTGCACGGCTGCTTACAATTGACATAGCCTCTAAGAAAACCCGCTGATTGGGAAAACCGTTTATCAGCAAAACAATATTAGTCATACGTCATAATTACTTGGAAGTATTTAAATATTACTCAACGCAAAGCCTGCGCCACATGTTTTTAAAATGCCAAATAAAGTGAATGTATATGCTTTTAAATGCGTTACAAGTTATTGAATAAGCCTCTACGTTTAGAAGCGCGCAGCTTTGCAAACTTATCGATCAAATACGAGTTCAGATGCTGTTCAGGAAAAATTGCTTAAGAAAAACAGTTTTCCATGGAGTCGGTGCGTATGGATTACCAAATTTTTCTGGTACTGGTGATGAGTGCCAGGTACTGTTCAATTACATCGGCCAGGGCGTTTATAAGAACATGTTTCAATGCTTAATGAAGCATATTCGTATTTGAATTTTAATGTCATATGAAAACGTCACCCTGACCCAACCGAAACCTGAGATTATCATTAAAAAATGATAAATTCCTTGGTTTTATATCAATAAAATACGAAACAGCCTACGTTCAGAAAACCACAAAAGCGATTGAGAAAAATAGGAATAATAACATGTGTGATATGGCAACGCATTGCGTGTAAGTAGTAGGCACGCAGTAAACTGTAAGTTATTAACCCAACTACACCGAGCCACTTGCCAAAACTAAAATGGAAAATTTAGATGAAAGGAAAATTCTCCTTACACGTTGCTCTTTCATTCACAGCTTCACCAAAGAGCTGCAAGCCATCATATCTCTCCTCAAGCGCAGTAATCTGCAGTAATAGCAGATTGTAATTCCAGGATATATCGGCGCTGACTCATGTGACCTATCTCACCGGAACCCAGTTAATGCCACTTTATGTCAGTGAATTTATCAAATTACTTTTAACATTCTCTGTAATGATTCATTATTTGCCAATTCATGCCTATTACCCTTCTCTAATTACTTATATTTTCAGGAACTCATGACCATCAAACGCAATAAGCAATTTTTTATCTCAGTAATGCTCGCGTCTGAATCGGAAGTTGTTTAACCTATGTTTAATTAACTAAAATCCTTCTCTCTGCCTTTCTCTTTTTTATTTCAAAGAATTATTACCCCATACTAATACTTACGAGTAGAGTTCGTAGCCTGAACTGGGTTGCCGTTGATGGTGGTGGTGGTGGCGGCAGCTTGGTTGATCTGCGTGGTGGTGGTGCTGGAGCCTGACGAGTTCACGAGCACGGCCGTCTCAGCGACGACGCTCCCGTTCGACAGCGACAGAACGATTACGTTCTCCACGGCTGGTACTTTGGCTTTGATGCTAGCAAGCAACTGCCGAAATATGGATAGTGTATTAACCAAGTATCCTTCAATAATAGTATAAATCGCTTATAATTTATCCAGACACAATACCAATAGACCGTTCACGTTTTAAATTGTTTTTGTTTATGACACGAGTATTTTTCTCAAGTAAATCCTCGACACCTTAGTTAGACTCAACTCTAAAAGTGATTATTTAGAGCTTGAGGTCTAGTCTCGAGATGAATAAGAAAAACCGGTTATAAACATATCGCTGTTAGCAAGCATTATTTTAACAATGTTAAAACCTTAAACAAACATTATAAAATTGTAAACCACTCTACTAATTTTAGGGATCGGCAATAATATTAGATCAGCAACCACTCACTGCTGGTTGGATGGCCTTGGCGAAGTCAATGAAGGCCTGCGAGTTCCTGTTCCTCATGTCTTGCTGGAAGGTGGACGCTGTGAACCTCATGGCCACGGGCACAACTCGGTTGGGCAGCATGTCGCACGCCATGGACCCTGCCCATGACATTTATTATAACAGATGCATAGCCACATTTACTGAAGCAGCCCTTTTATTATTATTTGACGCTCATTATTTTTTTGCGTTAAATGATTTACATATAATATTGTCTGCAGCTCAATGTTGTTCCGTAATACGATTTGTACAATATATTGACGGCAGCGTCTATCTAAACGCATAATGTTATTGCGTAATATATGTAGTTTGCACAATGTGTTGACGCAAGCTTAATGACACTCTATTTTATTGCGCATTATTTTGGTTTGTGCAATAATATTGAGCGTTTTGGGGCTCCTTGCAGTTTACAATCGAGTGACTCTTTTCCGGCAAAACAACTATAAGTCATATCTTTAGACCGAATTCCTTGCAAAAATGAAAACCTTAACTGACTTACAATTCTCACCGAGTATGACGCACAAGGTAAGAGTGAAGACTAACCTTAAAACAAATAACTAATATCCCAACAAACCTTCTGAGTCTCAAGCGAATTTCCACCCTCTACATGCAGTCTACCACATGATTCTTTCTATCATCACGTTCATCTTCCCCATTTCATCTTTAATAAAAAAAATCTGAAATAAAAAATGAATATGGAGCGAAAAAACACTTTAAATGGCGCTAGTTATTCTTATTGGTTGAATATTACTCGAATATTTATATGGTGTAAATAATCATCCATGCTTTACACTCCACATAAATCAATCAACGCCCTTGCGGGTACCCTATTCCTTTACTAACCTTATCCCAACCCCAAACATCTACAACAACCTAATTAAGGACTATGTGTCATTTTCGTCTCTTGTGTCACTGTCTATTCCTTCTCAGATTTCATGGCACTTCGTGCCGCCTCTTATTTTTTCCTTCACTCTCCTAGTGGTGTCCTGCACACAGACGCTAAGATGAAACATCTCTAAGCCATCTGATGCATCAACGGCTCATAATCGGATTTCGATGCACTGATATGTTTTATCGAAGCTGAACTGATATTCGAGCAGTTATTGGTATAATGATTAATTATTTAACTACTTTTATGCAACCTGATGCAGTAATTTAATGAAATACGGCACGGCTGGACAGGAATTGTTTCATTTATTCCTTATCAACCCTAATATTGAGATACAATAAATCTCTGCAAGCGCTAATTATACGTACATCTTTTGTTTTGGAAGGATGAGTAGCTCGAGTTACTTTTGATGCTTGCGGCAACCGCGTCCGCCTGTTGCTGGTTGGTCACTTGACACGAGCTTTCAAATTCCACCAGCGCCGTTCCAACTTTACGCGCGAGTGTCAGGGAGAAACCTTTGACCAAGTTGAACGAGGCTCCGCTTACGTCGTTGTACTTAATCGGCATCTGTTGGTCATCCACACCTTATATCACTTGCAATAATTTCGTTCGTATGAGAATGCTCGTATTATTTTATTACTGAAGACTGTCTGTTCTATAAAAAACATTGAGTACAATAGAGATGCCTTGCTAACCAACAATGGGTTTTAACCTATTTTAACCTCCACATTCGCAAGCAGAAACAAAATTTGGCAAATTTCATATAAAAAAAACACATCAGCTTTATTACTTACTGCTGTGACTGTGGTCTGCTCGCTCAGGAATTTACTGTTCGAAGAATTAAGGTAAGCAGCAACATCAGCTTCCGGGACAGTCTTGTCATAACGTAGCACAAGGCGAGGATTAGCTGTCAGAAAAAAAATTCAAATCGTAAGAACTTTTTGGAAATTATGAGACCGTTTTGGAAAGTTTTGCGCGGAAATTCATCTGGATCTGAAATTATCTAATTTTGAACAGAACAAAGCTATCATGAGGACATGCCTTGATTTATTGTGAAAGTACTTGGTACCATGAAAACCAGTCATGAATAAAATAACGGAATGAAAAAAATAAACACGCTACCGCGCCTCTACCGGACTCCACCCAATTTCATCAAATTATGCTAATAATTGATGGAATTGAAGTTTCCGTAAAAGATACTTTACATATTGCAGTTCACTTTTAACGAATATAATCTAATTATTAACTAAGGAACATTACAACCAACCACGTTGAATTAAATATCATTTTCATAACGGTTTCATTATTCATGATCTTGAAGTCTCATAATAGAAATCAATCTTTTTAAAGCAAATAAGTCTGTTTGATATTGATGGCAGTTGTCTCGTGAAGTGGTCTCACCTTGTGCTCCGCTGCCGCACTCGAAGTAATCTTTTTCTGTAATCAAAAACAAAAATGTTACGTTTTCAATTAACCCCGATAAACTCTATGACGATAAACGATAAACTTTATGACGTTTCAATTAACCCCGCGTATAAGATTGAAATGCACTTTAGAGTCAAACAGCTACTCTCTTATCGTTCCCTGCAACTCATCAATACCTTGCTCTCATAATCCATTATCCAATTTACGGCTTATCAGTTCCAAATAAATATAAAAGTTATTTCATTAATTTCCAAGTGTCACGTTACTTACTGGTTGTTACGTCGAAATTATTTTGAGCAGAACCTGCAATGATACAGAGTAAAATCAATTGAAATCACGTACATTATAAAAAATAATTTTTCCTAATTTTAACCATTTATGGACTCAAGGCACTAAAAATTTGGTATTATTTCATGGTTTTCGTTTACAAATCGCAATTCTTACTGGGAGCAAGGAAAACTCCACTTGCTGAGGAGTTCCCAGTAGACTGATCGTACGTCGCTGTCGCGGCTGCCCCACTCGTTCCAGACGCAGCCTTTGTGCTACCTGAACCGAGTGTAGTGCTTCCACTCTGGCTCCCAGCTACTGTTGTTGAACCGGTCACACTTCCTGCCTTCGTTGTCGAACCTGTTCCTGTCCCAGAAGTAGTAGTCGCAGTGGCACCTCCAGCCGCAGTGGTTGTTGAGCCAGCTATATTTGGTGCTTTCGTTGTCGAACTTATTCCGGTCCCAGAAGTAGTGGTCGACGAGGCACCTCCAGCAGCAGCGGTCGTTGCACCGATCACACTCCCCGCTTTCGTTGTCGAACTGGCTCCTGCCCCAGAAGTGGTAGTCGCCGAGGCACCTCCAGCTGCAGCGGTCGTTGTACCGATCACACTCCCCGCTTTCGTTGTCGAACTGGCTCCTGCCACAGAAGTGGTGGTCGCCGAGGCACCTCCAGCTGCAGCAGTCGTTGCACCGGTCACACTCCCTGCTTTTGTTGTCAAATTTGTTCCTGTCCCAAAAGTGGTAGCCGCGGAGACACCTCCAGCTGCAGCGGTCGTTGCACCGGTCACACTCCCTGCTTTTGTTGTCAAACTGGCTCCTGCCACAGAAGTGGTGGTCGCCGCGGCACCTCCAGCTGCAGCGGTCGTTGCACCGGTCACACTCCCTGCTTTTGTTGTCAAATTTGTTCCTGTCCCAAAAGTGGTAGCCGCGGAGATACCTCCAGCTGCAGCGGTCGTTGCACCGGTCACACTCCCAGCTTTCGTAGTCGAATTTGTTCCTGTTCCAGAAGTGGTAGTCGCCGGGGCACCTCTAGCCGCAGTGGTCGTTGCACCGGTCACATTCCCTGCTTGCGTTGTTGCATTTGTTTGTGCCCCAGAAATGACCTGAGCGTCTGTCGTAATGAAGTGAAAGTCATTCTGTGCTAAGATTTTACTTTCAATCAAGCAATATTATAATGCTAGCAGAATCTATGTGTTTTCGCCAACTATTTAAAAATATTAAAATCATTCGCGTGGTTAAATCCCGTATCAAAAACGAATTGAAATCCAAATGAAATGCCAAAAAATTATTCATATCAAGATAACATCTCAAAGTCCTATTTCAAGGGAATTAGAAGTTTTCTTATTAAAATAGCTTTTGAACGAACTATCGAATATAGCTGGTGAATAATTTAATAAACTAACCCTCCGATCAGGTGTAAAGATAATCTCCCAGTTCATACTCGATCATCTTTAGTTTGTACAGTCGTGCGCATTATGAGCGCATCAGCGCACGTCAATACAACGATACGCAACTTCCAATTTAGAACGACGGAACATAGTGCTTATGACCTTATGACCTCATGTGTTTAGGATTTCGTAGTCAAAGGTCAAGCTGATGCTCCGCCTTCATCGTCCTCCGTCTCCAAGCCTTCGATAGGCAAGTCGCACCACCCTCGGGTCCCAGTTGTAAAGTTGAATGTGTTCCGTCTATTTGCCCTTCTTTGGGCCAGCTGATATAAGATACTGTTGCTGGTCACTTGTTGTGGGTAGTTTCCCATAACTAGACAATCCGGGATCTTTCACAACCTCTTGTGCAGTAGTCTCTTGAATGTTGCAAGGGTGAACTCCCCTCCCCTCAGCACTTTTGGCTTAAACAGTCTAGGTCCTGTCGCGGGCAGTGCCTTCACGAAGAGTCTGTACTCTGGCCGCGGCTCGGTTATTAAATGGGGGAATACTACAGTCTCCCCTCCTTTCGTTGTAATATGTCACTATTTTGGAGCTCTCGCTTTCAAAGTTGGGAGCCAATCCGGTTATCACCTTCCAAGTGTACAATATGATTTACCTCTCTCTTCTCCTCTCCAGTGAGTACAGTCCTAGGTGTTTCAGCCTGTCCCAGCAGTTCAGGTCCATTTCCCTCATACCGCTGACCCTGGACGTGAAGACTGACTCCAGTCTTCACGTGCTGGAATGACTCCAGTTTCCGCTCCGCGTCTATCTTCAGCGGCGCCCAAAGCTGGCAGTAGTACTCAAGATTTGGGAGCACGAGGGCTCTGAAGAGTGTTATCATTGATGCTGCTTCTCTCGTTCGAAATGTCCGCCAGATCCAACCCATCCGTTGTCTGCTTCGCGCTACTTTTTGCTCGATGTGGTCCTCGATTGTGGCTTCGGTACTCATCAACACTCCGGATCTCGAACAAGTTGTTTCTCCTCAATTTCTGTGCCAGCCGATGCCATGTAACTATGTGGCATCCCTGTCTCTGTGCCGACTCTGCATCTCATTACTTCGAACTTGGTGCCATTGAATTGGATATTATTCACTAGGGTCCAATCGTAAATTGTCGACAAGTCATTTTGTAACCTCTCGCAGTCTAGATTCTCTGCGGTCCTCTTCCATATACTTTACCGCAAAGAACCCATAGAGCCTCTTCCATATACTGGACAAGTTTCCTGGCCACTACCTTCTCAAAAGCCTCAATCACCTGTGAGGTCAAGGTCACCGGTCTGTAATTTTGAGGTCTATCTCTCGGGCCTCCAAATGCGGATTGGAGTTATATCAATCCCACTCTGAGGCCCTCAGGAATAATTCCCTCCGTCATCGAGGCTTTCCAGAGCATTGGTAGCGGAGCCTTCAGGGCTCTAACACGTTTCTTCTACAGAACTTCCGGAATTCCATCCGGTCCTAGTGCTGAAAACGTCGTCAGTTCTTTGATAATTATTTTCATATCTTCTGGTCCAAACTCGATGTTCTCCAACCCCTTACACCTGGCAGCTCTTGGAGAACTTCGATTTCATTCTCCTGTCTTGAGTATCGGGGATTACTAAACACTGATTCAAACTGCGATCCTATTAGATCACTCGTGCCCTGGTCAGCTCTGACAATGAAATTGTTAACCATCAGCGGGCCCACTGGCGTCTCTATTTTAGCCTTGGACTGGGCGTATTTGAAAAAATACTTGGGGTTCTCTCTGATGAGTGGGGAAAGTTCACGAACTGGATACGCGCATCCCCCCTTCTTCGGCTTTACGCATTCCCGAGAAGATTAACATCCTGTATCTGATAATGGTTTTATTAACTAATTTACACTGCTGGTGTTTCCAACTTCCGAATTTTAGAGTTCATGAATATTAAAAAAAAAACAGGAGCCTAGTTTGAATGCATCCTTTACTTCATTACTAGTCAAATTATAGGAAGTAAGATTTGACAGCTTGTGGTTATTTCATGTTGTCATGTCTATCATGTTTAATTTTAAGTGTAAATATCTGAAATGTGAATTTCGTACCAGTCAATTCACTGAATTTGTACTATATGATTTTTGAAGTTAAATGACAGAGCTGAACTCAGAAAAGCTTTCTATAAAGTTCGGATGTACTTTTGTGGCTTTCTCTTTACTTTATTAATTTATGATACGTTAAAATAAGGTAAACTAATTCATATTTAACTTAGTAGTTCAAGCAATTTACGTTATTCTGGTCAAAAAACTCGAAAATTATTCCAAAACGTTTCCGCTCTACGCGGTGAAAAAAGGTGGACCTTGCATGGTTGCTTTAATAACAATACGTAGTATAATTTGATGAAACAATGAAAATTCTCTATTTTTGAATTTGAAATCCTTTCAGACTTAAGAAAGCACTATCGACACATTGACTGTAGAAAAAGCCACATTTGCAAAAATGCTTCAATATTTAAACATTCTAAAAGAAGATCATAACAGAATAATTCTATCTGAAAATCAAACTTCCTTGACATTGAGCAGGCAGTAGCGATGAAACATTGCTGCGAGGTCAGCTCTCCATAGAGACGAGTGAATCGCATGTCACAACACTACATTCAACCGGCCTTCACCATGGCCACTCGCCTTCGACCGAACTCGAGATGCACAACATTGATGGCAAACACAGGAACTTTTTGCTTAGCTAATTGTTGACCCATTGTCCATTTTTCGAAATGCTCTTTTTCATAATATTATTCATACTATCTAGTGATCTAAATCTTAGGCTTCTAAGAGGTCGTTGATGCAGGAGACGTTTCGTTCTATTTAAATTTTCGATCAGTTTCAAAAACGAATAGTTAACAACAGAAAAAAGGAGTGGCCGTCTTAATTACTACGCACTCATTTACACTATACCCACTTATCTATAGATAACAGCGATGCATACATAATTAACAATGCTAGGACACTGTAGTTTACAATTAAATATCAGCAAAAAATTGTGAGTAACCAATAACCAAGAAGAATATAATTGCTGTCGATATCCTGAGTTCCAGCGTTTATAATACATTTCATACCGTCAAAATTTTGAAACTTGATTCGATTGTTTCGAAATCTGCACGTTCAAAATCGTTGAAAATTATACAACTATGCAGATTTCTTATTCCAGTTGAGGTATATATGTACATCATTTACTCACCTATTGGCAGCATCAGAAAACCTGGAAAGAAAATACAGATTTATGATACCATAGACAGTGGAATGTGAACACGAATTGGAAAAACGCTCGCGTGGAAAGGAAATTTCCTTTATCCTCGTTCCTTACAGAGAGTTGCCGACAACCTAATTTGAAGTTTCTTGACTTGGGTTCCCCTTTCTTACTACAAATTATAATCGCATCCAGAAAAACACCTGCCTCATAATATATGTTTTTATTCCTCATAAGATATGCTTAATTATGTGTGTTCATTTATGAACACAATGACAAGGGCTACAGGGCAACATCGTGCCGACTTCAGATGTCCAACACACGCACTACCCTCATTGGCAGTTCTGCACGAATAAATAATTTTTCCCACCTGACTTAACATGTCACATAACAGAGCAAGACGAGCCTCTCCTTACATGACATTTATTATTAACACTTCAAGACGCTGCTGGAGCACGGCATGTCATCATTTATGACTGCGTCACTGCTTCGCGCTAAATGAAGCTCATAAATGTAATTCAAGCGTAAATTATTGCATGCGAATCTATACAGTTCTTTGGAACCACATTGACGGGCAATGCCGAAAAAGGCGATTTTCCTTTGATTAAAAAAGCTTATGAGAAGGTTTGGTCTAGATAAAGAGAATAAAAAAAATTATTCAGCGCGTGTAATTCGCATTATCAACCAAGATTGAACCAGTCTAAGTTGCATATGCATACTGAACCAGTCTAAGTTGCTAAGTAATTCATGGCATCAAGTATTGATACTTGATGATAATTCCACTCTGCCTCATAATTATGTTGAGAAATTGATGATAGTTTAGAAGTTTCAGAATATTTAATGAATTTGTAGTCGTAATTGTGAATGTGTTTCTGCTCAATTATCATGTTGAAGGGCTTTCAACAACGATATAAATTTGCGGTGGCTAATAGCGTTGTCTCATTGATGACCATCATTTGCCTATATGTTGACATTTTTCTGCTTATGAAGCATTTTATTTCAGGAAATGTAATAGGTGTGATTTACATCCACCGAGCATGATATTGATGTTGCATAGAAATATTTAAATATAAATCGGACTTTCCTGGTTATGTTTTCTGGGCTTTTGAAACTAGAGATACATGAGATGTATATTACTTTACTTTAGATGTATATTAAACATTTATTTTTAAACAAATATAAGTCATGCTTGCTGCAACAAGAACGGAGCTGGTGTATTATTGATGTGGGTTTCCTAGCAAATGCGTAAAAATTTGTGGCAAAGTCGGAAATCGTGAATATGTGTTAAAGAACAAATATGAATAAATTATTCGTTATAGTTATACATGGATAGAATTTATTTTCGATTAGCGATGGAAATTTTTCTTTATTAGACCCCAGTACTTACCGGCCAGCAGAACAGAGCTGATTAAGAGTAACACTCCTGAGGAGCCAATGGCAAGTAATTTGACCATTATTGGTTATGCGCCCTAAATTAGTTTGAACAACTGGTTAAAAATTAAATCCCGTACTCGAGTCACCATTTATGTTGCACTGATCACGATCACTTCTCGACCTAGAATGATCGGATGCCGCAGCGCACGTCTCCCGACAAATGTGTACTCGTCGCACCATGGAGCGTCATGACGACAAGTGCTGGAGTTCTTGTTCATTTGGAAGGTTACATTCATATTAATAACGTTATGGTAAAATAAACTAAATTTAAGATAATTAATAAACTATATACATAAAATAGAGTTAATATTAGGATTTGATGAATGCAGTGTCTATTTCAGTATTATGTAGATTGAAGGTTTCCATGGAGGTCACTAAGTGACGTGCTGCGATCGACTTGCTTCATCGATTGAATGCTAAAGATACTGAATGCGCAATGGGTCCAGCATCTCTGTTTTTTAAGCAAAACAGCTATGGTTAATGCTAGTTCTTGATGACAATGGCTCAGCCCTTTTCCTTATTATTCAACTTTATTTCTTCGAGGCTCCCGATTTTCGCTCACGTGGGGCATTTGTCATAAAATTTGGTTTTGCCATAGGACGGCATATTATGAATTATAATTATTAATGACAGTCGAGTGCAGAAATGATACTTCAATGTATTTATTATCTAGCTAGCTAGCGCTTGGCTCTGAATGAAGCGATACACTGAAGATCTTGCCTTGCATTATCTAGTAGAATTGCTTTGATAAATCAATGGTAGGTACTGATGTAATTGACTTAGCGATGAACTTAATTCATAATTTTAAATAACTCATTCATTTAATGAAAAATTCATCATAGACTATGAAGTAGCAATAATATTCAAAAGATGAAATTTGAACCTTAAATTAAATTTGAGAACTTAGTTAAATAAATAAACTAAGTAAATTAATTTTTCACACGGCAGTTTTGCGTTAACAGCTTAATTCGACTTCACGATGTACTTAATTTGAGTTTAGTTATTCAATTGGATATGATAGATAACTTCAGGAAAAAATAAATGAATCGTTTTTCGAATCAAGCAACAAAAGTCAATTTTAGGTGCCAGTAAATCAGTTCTTGTCGCGGAATGTCTACGGAAATCAGTCTCAAAATTCACTTTCCTCATATATATGAGAAGCTATCTAAATAGAAATGTTGCAAAAACAGAGTGACATGAAATGCATGTAAAAATGTAGATTTATGCTCAATATGGCATTATGGCAATCTCCTACTGCTTTAATTTACACCTTCTGATCAGCCGACAATTCAAATAAACTCTGAATCTTTGAATCAAAAGGGGAAGGAGAAAATTTGAAATCACCCGCGATTTTCTTTGAAGTGTAAATTAAGTTACAATAATTCAAAATAAGAAAACGAAATCCTTATTAGGTATTCTGTTTCTTGCTAAGTGCTTAGGAAAAGGAGTAATATTGAATAATGAGTGATGTGCCGCAAACTCTGATTACGCGAAGTCCATTTGATCTGCAAGCCACGGCTCCCAGCAGTGCAGCCGTAGGCATATAAGAGCCTGAATAATTTGTTATGCCATTAGGAACCTCAGCTCGCGAACCTGACTTGCCGTGGAGTTAGCGCTCCAGGCTCTCACTGAGAACACGTTTCAAAGCTACACTGAAAAAGAAAAATTTCCAGCATTTTCTTGGCATTCGTAGCTATGGGCCACCTTTTTGCATTCCATTATGAGGTCGTTAGACATTTTATATCTACGCATTTTCGATCACAAAGATTTTCTGGGTTTTTATAGAGTTAATTTTCGTTTATGAGATTGATGAGAAAGAGCTCGAGTCAAAATCGCTGCTTTCAATTTTATTTATAAAGCATGAAAAGAAGAGAAAGAATGTTTTGAAAAAAAATGAAAAGAATGACTTATTTTTATGAAAAAAAAATAAGAAAAGAAACAATGTATTTTTACCGCTGAGTCAATTACAGTAACAAATTTTGGGTAAAATACCCGTACTGTTCTTCAGCTCCCATCAAAATGTTTTATCTTTTGATGCATATTTCATATTGGATGTGGGAATTGGTACTCAATTATAGTTCAGAATTGGTTCGGAATTAGCAAAAAACTCATTCTATAAAATTAAACTAATTATAAAAAAAATTCTACTTCGCTGAGCTTTTATTGTGGCTCAATAATTCAAATATACATTTTGTTATACCAATAACAAGTATTTCATTTCTAAGGGTTCAAGAACTACCATTAAGAGTGCATCTCTAACAAAAGTCTTTCCTCAGCATAAACAAGTTTACAGTGTCACCTCATGTTGCCTTCCCAGTCTTATGTTTGTCAGATCCCTATCCTGCTCGACCGTACTCGTTGTAAAATCTGAGTCTACTCTCAGACGCTGTTCCCTAACGCCGAGGTTACGCAGTTCTGGCAAATATTTGAGCAGAGGTTGGTACGCTGATTTTTGGCTGATTGTCTGTAAAACACACAAACGATCAGGGCGGCAAGCGATCGGCAAAAACAAGCTTATGTCAAGAGTTGTTTCAGAGCCAAACGGGAGTTTGTGAGGAATACGCTTGAAATTTAGACGGTTTTCCAACCAAAATTTGATTCAACCAATCAGATCGCACTTCATCTTTCTGGCTATAGCAATGGTAACCTCTTTCGCTGGGAAACAGTGTCCCAATTAATTTTAAACTAATTGAAAATAAATATTCTCAACACGTAAAATAAAGTTTTAATGTTACCTATTTTACGATTCGATGAATGGACCACCACTAGTCACTTTCGACGCTACTAAGTTTAATTAAGCGGAATGAACTTTTACTCGTCGTTTATAAATACATTTTCCGAATTATCAGAACTTCAGCCTTCATCAGTCGGCTATTCGGTGCTTGCTTCACTCACAAGTGTTCGATGAAATTAGTGGACGTTTATTATTAACGTGAGTAGACACACTTTGTTAGGCTCAAACTTTGTTTATGTTTACCCTGCCAGTCCATAGTGCAAACATAATGGCGATGAAGCGTGAAAGCCTGCTTGCCCTGACCGGTGATTTTAAAATATTTGATAATATATTATTTTATCTCATTCATCTCGTTTGGAGTGGAAATCTTGTTCGATATAAATTTATAAAAATCTAATTACATTTCAAATAGTTGATCATTCTTAGCATGAATCTAATTAACAATGTTCATTAAATGTCTTAATAAATTCTAAGTTATGCCTTCACTTCTTGAAAATATCTGGCAGATTTAATGCCGGGAGATGGCTAATCCAAATTAAAGATTGCTCTTCCATTGTCTCACAAGATGAATATACATTTTTGACTCCTATGAAGCTGACAGATTCTCTTAGCGTTCTCATATTCCATGCACAGACTTTGAACGGCCATTTATGTAGGTCAGATCTTGCTACACGCGTTCTTCTCACAAATCCGCTCCGTCGTAGGGCGTCTCGCATTTGGTATGGTAATCTTTGGTGTCAGTCTTGGTACAGCTTCATTTGTGTGCATGAGTGACTGAATAATTTGATCATAGTGTGAGTATCAATCCCATGTGCCCAACATTCAGGCTTTAGCGTTTAAATGAATTAGATCAGAGGTCAGGAGGTATGAGTTGATTGGGAAACATGGTTACAGGTAGTGGTTGGTTGGTAATATCGGGTTCATAACGGCTTGTTGGGTCGATTTCGCAGATTGTATAAATGTAATTTTTCCAATTCTTGCGAAAGCTGTTGAATGAAAATTTTATTGGTGACACAAATTTTCAACAAAAATAAACAGTTTATTCGGCAATATTTGAATATGTAAATCATATTGTGTGTACAGTTTTTCTAAAACCATAGAATTTTTAAGGTAAATTGTATAAGGACCGATTTCGGTAGCTTTAACGAGATAGTAACAATTCTTGAAGTTTAGTAAGGATTTTTCAAGTGGAAGTGGGTTTTAGATGTTAGGGTGGTAATAAAATGATTAAATATTCGAAAATTAATTTAATAATTACTAATCGCAAAAACTGCAACACTCACTCATATAAATCCATTATATTTATTGAAGCAAGTGAAAGTTTTGTTGATTCCTATGGTTCTCGTATTATATTATATTATATTATATTATATTATATTATATTATATTATATTATATTTTATTTTATTATATTATATTATATTATATCATATTATATTATATTATATTATTTTTTACTGGCTTCTATGCCTACATGACTGCATAGCTCGCTCATCTGGTTTCTAGTGCAGCAACAGAAGTAACGTCCCCCGCCCTCGCAGGCAGCGCAGTCAGAGGGCTCCATGAAGCCGCGCGAGCAAATAAAGCTCCTCTTTTACCGAATCGTCCACATTTTGCTGAGCCTCGAGATTGCCTTTGCATTTTTCATGTTGCGAGGTGAAGAGAAAGCTTCTCAAGTCATTCCTCGCCACCCGAATAATTGATTCAACAGCCGCTCTCAAAAGAGCCAACGACATAAATTCTATAAACATAATTTTTCTTTACAAAAATATTCAATATTTTTTTACAAAAACTTTCGCTGGCATAATTCAATTTGGTTTTGCCTCCTACTTCCAATTTGTTTGTATATTTTCCAATTACCTTTGGTTAGAAACGTAAGACAGCGCGAAACTGTCAAAATACTTCTTCAAATTCAAGAACATTTTTGCGAGAAATGAAAACTTATGGTAACTTTTTGGCAAATGTCATTTGTATCAGGTAAAACTGATTCAACTTATCAATTATTATGCTGTGGCAAATTAGTTTTTCAAAGAGATGATTCCAGTAATTTCTTTATAGTTTTTAGCGCATTTTCTCATTTGTGGGAAAAATGCACTATTGTGCTCGCCATGTCCGTCTGTCTATCCGTCTGTCCGTCCGTCCGTGACCTCAAGTTTTCGTCGACGAGACGTGACCTCTGTCATTCACTGCAGTGAGTACTGAGTAATATTTTTTATTATTTCAGAACTCTGTATATGTATACATACAGGAAGTTTTAATATTTTTAATATATCTATTCGACGAATTTTCTGATGTTGATCCAACTATTTGTCACCTTCAATAAGAATAGCCGGAATCGTGTAGGTATAAATTTTGTTGAATGAATTTCTTTCGTGGAAATGTTCCGCTAAACATTGTTCTGTCGAACATTAACTTTTAGATGAGACCATAAGTGAAAATAAAATAATATATGGACTTTCACAAAATGTTTTATTGATGCCCAAGAAAATATAAACTAGCAAAAATACATTCCCTTGGATATCCTCTCAATAAATAACAAACAAAAAAGGAAAATAAAACGAAAAGGTCATGATAAGCTATTCATAAAGTTTATGATTCTAATTTATCTATGGAATTATATTGCCTGTAAAAGCTTTATCTCACTATTTGCATGTATCATTGCCTGAGTTTTCATACTGACTCTAATTTATTCCATGATCGAAATAAACGCTTATCACCACGTGTAAGCTCATGGTACTTCAGAGAAGTTGAAACTGTGAGCCAAAGACTGAGCACTAATTGATTCCTAAGGAGCATAAGGAGCTAATTCTAGGGAGTTACTTAGTCAACGATGGAAAGAAAGTTTCTAGTTTAGTAATGTGTCTTAAACAAATTAACTAATCAACTAATCAGTATTCAACTAATCTCTTCAATACTATTATAGAAATTCTTTACTATTGCTGATATAGGTGCATTGCTAAAAGACATAGTCACTTGTTAATAACCGAGAAAAATCTGAACATTAATACTTTTGCATGCGTTACACTTTATTTTAACTCTATAGCTCTTGTTAAACGTACAATCACTTGAAATTTGCCGAAACGTAAACCTTAGTTATAAGTTTATACGATAATTTGCTAGTATGTTTTCTTAGAACCTTGAGCACTTGCAAAAATGATTCGATATTCTATGAAGGAAATTTGAATGCTCGGTAATAATTTTTGATCTCCTATGAAGATTAGAGCTCAAATTATTTTTCGAAGTCACTATATACTCTCATTAGTGACTGAGTAGTGCCAGCAGGCGTTTTGGTGCATAGGCTACCAAACATTCAGTCATTCCGATACATTTGAGTGCGGCTCTATTGCACTTAAAATAATCCTGCACTGCATGGTCAACGAACGTCCTGTGATTGAACTGCGCTACCAGCGTCTATCAATTTCAGTACGTCGTTCACAAGATATAGCCGCATAGAAATATCCATATTTCCAACACTGAAGCAACACAAGACTTTTAAAAGATAAAATAAATGAATACCGTCACTTGTCATAAGAAGTTTAATCATTCATACCTTGAGCAAGATAGAGGGTTTTCAATTACTTTCTGAAGAAGAGTTTGGAAAAACTATGCAGAAACTGTGAGCGTTAATTTTCCTCTAAAATAAATTAAATAGAATAAATTTTCCTTTAAAATGTAGACTATTGGTGTAAGATGCACAAATTTGCTATAATTACCCTTTCAATTACTGCTACTCTTTCCATTAGTATTATACGCGCTTGATACTATCCTGACACACGTGACTGTAATAACTAGAAGTGACACACCGACCCGCCTGCTTGCTGCAGACGTCGAGAAAAATGGAGTACCTGCAAATGAAAAATTGTACAGGTTAAATTTTTAAATAATGCTCTGACGAAATATTTAATCGATGACTAATACGATTGTGGAAATAAATATTCAATAAACTTGAAAATTGTTGACCTAGATGTTAAAATTACAAAAAATGTCAATGTTTTCATGCTTGTCAGCTGAATACAAATTTGATAATTTGTTTTAAAATTAATAATAATATCTACTTATTCACTTTAATTTCTTTATTATTTTGATGTTAATTATATCAAGCTTAGAGAAAAAAAATTGACACATGCAAGCGTTTCCACTGCTTCTAGTGTCATCGAATGGCATCTGTAAACTTCTCGCTGCATCACTCTTATTGAAATATTATTAAATTATCATTAAAATATATTAAATTATCAACTACATTTAGACTAGCTGCCCAACAAAACTCACCAAAAGTAACGTGTCTCGTGCGCTTATGAGGCTCGGGCGACGCATCCTCGCGGCCTGCCGTGGAAGAAGAGGGAGTCGCTGCACGCCAAGAGAACATCGTGAAATTATGAGGCAAATAATTTGTAATTTGTTCGTTTCAATCGTTAATTAAGTATCGTTTCAATATTATTCGATATTACTGCCAAAAAGAATAAATTAAGTTTATTAAAAAAGTAATAAATGAAAATTAACATTATTCCTGTCCATTACAAAGATCATCATTTTATTTTTATAACCTAGATTAGAAACCGTTTGTAGCAAGAGTAATTGTCCGAATAGATAAAATTTACTAACTCAGCGGTGGTGAGGTGACTTCCCACCAAGGTACGAACGAGGGTGGAGGGGTGGCAGAGACCCAAAAGGAAGTTAGGGACGTGGTTGTCCACCGAGTTGTTGTTGTAGTTGTAGCTTTTGGAGTCGTAGTTGTGTGAATTTCTGCGTTGTTGGGCATAGAATGGTGGAGATTATTGCGAAAACGATTCATAACAACAATAAATGATAGAATATGAATTGTGAAACAATGAATATTTTTATTCGCTTTTAATTTCATTTCTATCATCAAGCGACAACTCGGATATGCTCACCGAAGAGCGTGAAGGAGAGCGCATCGCTGCCCCTGGCGTTGCGCGCCTCGCACTTGAAGCCTCCGAAGTCTGCGCTCGTGACGGCGCGCAGGAGCAGCGAGCTGCGCCACCGCAGCGGCTAAACCAACGGCACAATATACATCAATACAATAAGGCGAGTAGGCATTTTGATGAGCCCATGGTCATGATCCAAGCTAAAATTAAAAGGGTTTCTTCTACTTTTAATCAACGATTTAAGCGAGGACCACCATGGTTGTTGCATTACAACAACCATGTTTTCATCGTACATTCCAGAGAGTAAATACACTGGTAAGTCGATGGTAATATTCCTAATTAATTATTCCATGGTCTCTGCTTCATTTAATTTACATTGCGTACTCAAGAATTGGAATCTAGCTTAAATCAGGAAATTATGATATTCAGATCAAATATTATGTTAAAATTACCTTTATCTGCATTTGTTAAACAAACTAAAACTATTCACTGGAACTATCATCCAATTGAATTTTGTGGAACTACGGGGTAACTTGAAATGGGCTAACAACAGGTCAGATGCCAAGTTTAGCAACTATAATTTATCAAACCTATACGAGATATGTACGTGAGCATTCATGCATACATTGGTGTTTACACATAAGCGTCTGATGCGGGCATTAGTATTATGCCAAGTAACAACCTCCCTTCATCGGGTTGAAGGTTTTTTAACAACTTCGTAGACGTATCGGGGTCAAAAATTTTTATAGAGCTTGCATTAACAAATTATTGAGGTGTTGACATTTGTTGAAATATCGGAGCAGCCCAAGAAGCAGATTTCAATAACACGTTTGAGGTTTTCTGAGAGTGGATGAAACTTTTAATGCAGGGCTTTATGTGGATGCCTTCGAGGGAGAGTGACCTGGAAAACTTCCCACGGATTTCTTATGAAGGAGAAAAAATAATATTGAAATACGCAAGCTAATTCAGCGTTGGAATGGAAAATGTTTAATTTTATGTTGATCGATGACATTGCACGAGATCCAAAGTGATTATTGGCCAGATCAAACTACATGGAAAGTTTTTTTTCAACGTGTTAAAATAGTAGTTTATTATTCATGAAGTACGAAATCAGTAGATCAATGCCTTTCTTAATAAAAACTTTTGAATATATGGCTTCTTATGTCAGCATCGGGTGCAAAAAAGTTTTATATCCACAATCTTATATTCTTAAATACACATATCTGACTAATAACTTATTATTAAATATAACTAACTAGAATAAGCCCGATAACTATATATTTAACTGATATAGATAATCCTAAATAACTTCCAACATCTAACTAAATAACTTATTCTTAAATTCATAATATTTATTTATATACATATTTATTTTATACATATCAATTTATTTTGAGCATATTTTTAGTGAGCATATTTATTTATAAATATATTGGATGGAACCAGGTCCCGTATTGTGAATATCAAGTGCCGCTCCGAGTTGGTGGATCATGACTGTCAAAGAAACGGGATGGTATACTTTAAGAAAGATTAAAGTCCAGCAGAAGAATGAGACTTATTAATATAATGACAAATGTTAATTATCGAAAATTACTTAAATGTTAATTTATGTTCTTATCTGAAGTTTCGCGTTTACAACGGCCTTAATTGAATGAACAACTGTCAGTGCACTGTTTAATTTTACTACCGTCACAAATATAAGTAATATATTACATCTTATGTCCAACTAAATTATTGTCTCTACCTGCAGTTCCTCGTTGACCACGGCCTTAGTAGACTGAGCAACTGTCAATGCAATGTTTAATTTTACTTCCGTCACAAATATAAGTACGACATTACACCATATATCCAACTAAATTATTGTATTTACCTGCAGTTCCTCGTTGACGAAGGCCACCCTCGGGGACTCGGCGACGACTCTGTCAGCGGCGTCGCGCCACGTGAGCCGCGCCGCGGGGTGGGCGGAGAAGCTGCACGAGAAGCGCGCGTCGCCCCCCAGCACGGCGCCCACGCGCACGCTGCTGGGGGGATCCAGCACGGGAGCGACTGGGGAGGAGGCAGAGGTGGGTCATGGGGATGAAGCATGAATTATTCAGTGAATAGATCATGGGGAGTGGTGAAGGGGTGTGAGTAAACAAACGCATCCTGAGTGAGCTGGAGAAATGTAACCTAATGATATTACTAATAAACGATGAGCAGCACGCGCTTGCTGACGCTGCAACACTCACAGTTGACGTTGAGCAGCACGCGCTTGCTGACGATGGGCGGGACGCCGTTGCTGGCGATGCACAGGAAGGCCCCCGCGGAGCTCCGCTGCAGGGGACCCAGACGAAGCTCCCGCCCCACCCACTCGTCTGTGAAGAGTTCACGAGCAGAACAAGGAGTGATGAAAATCACCAATTAATAAACTTTTGGAAAAATAAAGAAAATATACCAAAGTTCACTCCAATAATACTTTAATTGCAATATTCTTCCTGCCGCCATCTTTGGTCTCACCGGCCGTTTTGCCTCCGCTGGAGATTTTTGCGCTGTCCTCCCTGACCCAGCGGATGGACGGCTGAGGACGACCGCGTGCGTCACACGTCAGCGTCACGTCCTGGCCTTCGTTGGCGGTCACGTCGCGGCTGCTTCCGTCGTCCACAATAACGGGAGGCACTGCAGATGCAAAATGGGCACAAGAAGCAGTAGAAAGAAACCTTAATATTTCTGATATCCTAATCTGCTGCCATGAATGTTATACGTATAGACGTGAGCCATACTGTAAACGCTTCAAAAATGATACCACCGCAAGACGAGAGATGAAAGGGAAATTTTTATATCCTTGTATGGTTAGTTGGATTTTCTTAAAAATAACCAAGCAAACAAAAAGTGGATTTTCATGTTATAAACAGCAAAAACATGAAATGAAAACCTGGAGACGGTTTATATGTTTTTTCCACAATAGCACAGTATCTGTCATAGAAAAAAAGCAAGCAAATTTTTATTAGTTTATCGTATATTTGCAATCAGAAACTCTCGAAATTTTTTTAACGTGTAAGCAAGAGCACAACGAGGGTATTTTTCATTGAAAATACGAATCCTATACGAATACGAAATACGAAATCTAAAAGTGACAAATTCTGAACGAATATTCTCGAGTTTGAGACACTAATGAATACCAATATCATGTTTGCTTTATTAAGTTGTTTCATTCCAACATTAATTTCCGAGATATTTCATTCAAAAACAAATAAACACACAGAATTTCGCTCTAAATATTTTTTGTCTCTCTGCGAAAATGTCCTTTTAAAAATGAACTCCAGGCAGCACAAGACGCAAGCAGCGGATTTTGAGGCGGGCGGCCGCAACTGGCGCTTGAGATAAACTCGAGCGATTGAAGGCTAACGGACGTGAAAACGAAGGGATTTCTTCGGGCAGTGAATGAGGAGCTTGAGCTTTTCTAGCCGTTAATAAGCTACGAGTTTTGATGAGGTGAGAAGGAAGAAATTCAAGATTAAAAAGCAAATTACCACTGCATTGGTGGAGATATTGACACTAGGAAACTTGTATTGTTACAATGAAAAATTGCCCATTATTGTAAGTAAGGGTTGGTCCTTTTTAGCGCATTTTCTCATTTATGGAAAAATGCCCTATTGTGCTCGCCATGTCCGTCTGTCTGTCCGTCCGTCCGTGACCTCAAGTTTTCGTCGACGAGAAAATGCGCTCTCTGTCACTCACTGCAGTGAGTACTGAGTTATATTTTTTAACATATGCTTTGATTCGAAGATGTTGTCTGTTGTCATTGGATGTGGAAACAATGGTTTTTTCCAGCTCAATATTGGTGCACAAAACTCATGCGGTATGTGCACCGGTGTTTTAGACATTGACGTTGAGCTTGGCGTTTAACCGCTCTCTTATCGCAACAGGTAACGAAGGATTTGACAGACATTTACCCGCCGCAGTATCATTTTTTATTCGACCGTCGTTCGCACATACATTGAGCACTTGGATTGAACCGCCATATACCGACCACAATGAGCACTAGTATTCGACCACAGAGAGCACCAAGAATTGATCGACATCATGAGCGCCAGAATTGGATCGCTGTCACCGGTAATTTTATACACCTTGAACTGACTGCCATTTACCGATCACATTAAGCAATATGATTGGACTGCCGTTCATCGATGTAGACAGTTGTCACGGGCTGAAGTGAACAAAAGGGATTTGACGGCTTCGCACCAACCACGTTGAGGACCAGAATTACACTACTATTCATCAAGCACATTGAGCAGCTGAATTCGATTGCTGCTCACCGACATCATTGAGCAATAGAATTCAAATGCTACTCACCGACCACATTGAACATCAGAATTTAACTGTTAATAACCGACCACATTGAGCACCAGAATTACACTACTACTCATCAAGCACATTGAACATCAGAATTCGACTGTTACTCACCGACCACATTAAGAACCAGAGTGTGCGTGAGGGTTGGCTTGGTGTTGAGCTGGCAAAGGTAGTCACCCTCGTCCTTCTCGGTGACGCCGTCGATGCTCAGCACAAAAGTTTGTCCTTCCCTCGTGGCTGAAATGCGCGGATTCTTGGTGACGACCTGAGATCCTGTGGCTAAAACAGCGCGCCTCGTAGCGCCTTTGTGGATCCAGGCCATCTAATAGTAGAAGACGACGCAAAGTACGATAGTACCGGAATCTATTTATGATATCATGGCGTCTACTGTTTAAGAGTCTTTGATTCAATGGCTTTGCCTTGATGGGCAATTTCTTCTGTTTGTGTGCGATAAATTTACGCGTTTTCTTCCAATTAATGGCATGTTTCATCAGCGAAATTTATTAGGGACCTTCTGGATTTTTGATTATTCATTAAATTTTGAAAAAATATAAGCTAATTTTATTTTATGCTAATCACCTTATAGTGCTGCAAATTATCGACGGTGCAGTCCAGCCTCGCGTGCCGCCCTTCTGCCACTGTTAAGTTCCTGGCCTTCGATACGAACCGCGGCTCGTTCAGTGCCACGCTGCTCGAGCCTGAAGGACCGGACGATATACATTCTTTAGGGCCATGAATATATCCATTCTTGAATGAATTCTCCATTCACTCAAAAATATTTATCGTGAATATCAAGATGTATTTAACTTCTTGAGAGAAAAAAATATTATTACGGGTTTTCAATTATGTATGAAAAATGCGAATGCATCGCTGAGCCCATATCGAAATTGATCCTCTGACTGATTTGAAATTTAGGTAAGGGATTATCTTTTGTTGGCGGGCATTCTCGAGAAATACGTCATCATGAAAGCAAATGCTTCAAATGAAGAAATAAATTAATCAAATAATATAAATAGCCGGTTAAAAACTATTTTTTCTTCGGTGAGTCTCATATACGCCATAATTCAGTGTAAAGTAAAGGGACTGATCACACTATATAGATTGATCATATTTATCATAGAAATTTTCTTGTAGCACCATCTCATTCTTTAATAATTTTTAAAAGTAACAGTGCATCACAACCAAATAAATTAAAAAGTCAATGAATGTAATGCAAATTATCAATTCTTTTATCAACTGGTTATATCACCTATCACCATCATGGCCAATCGAGTAAATGTGCAGCATTAACTGTTAGCATTTATTTCTATATTTTAATAATTTTTGATCAATTAATTATAATTTTCCGCCTGCCATATTCGCATTTCTATAGATTTAAGTGCTGCTCTACATTTTATTGTTATTTTACTTTCAAGTTTTGCACACGATAAAATTAAGAATAATAATATGATGCCAAGAATAATGAATGTGATGTCTTAAAAAGATTATATTTGTTAAAATATTTTACAATGAAAAGGCATATAAAGCAAAGAGGGTATTATTTGTATTAGCGAAGATAGATATTACTATCTAGAAAATGAATTCTGACATTTAAAAGAAGCGTTTATAGGCCGAAAATAGTCGCGGAAAACTATTTGAAATCAGCATTGAAGAATTCCATACGATTGGAAAAAGAAAAATAAATTGCAATGACTGCAATAATAATTTTCGTGTTCCTCTTCATCAGTATTGCGATTGAATATTCATTCAACGAATGTGTGCCATGAAACTGTATTATTATACCCGTGCATGTAGCCACAACTAGTGCTTCATTAATTTAAGTCATGTTTCTAATATTTTCGACCAAAAATCTAGTTTCTCACCTGTCACAAGACAGCAGGATGCAAGTAGTATTATGCGGACAAGCATCGTACGCCGACCTCTCGTGTAAACGAAATCCGGCAGACAAAATATAACGCCTGAAAGTGCGAACGCGTCACTTGAAATCTGGAAACTGAAACTTGATCTTCAATTTTTAGTATCGGGATTCTTATCAAACGATTCACCATTCGCTAGCAACAGATAATGGAAGTTTAACAGCATCACATGAGCGTTATATTCACGGGTTCTTAACATCTAGCGATCGCTAAAAAAAAGATATTTTTAAAAAGATATTTGCTAAGTTAGCAACTTGAAGGCTACTCTATGGTATTAAATTTTATTTACCACTGTAACTTTTAGTGTGCGATAAGTACCATGTTGGCTCGACACTCATAGGTTAATGCTGTTTAATGTCAAGCCGACGTGGCTCGGGAGGCCAAGTGTGACGATTGGCAAGATATAATCACCGTTGCTTAGGTAGTATTTAGTAAGGACTTACGATCGAACAAATTGTTAGCAAATGTTCACCTCAAATTCTCCAGCTGTATTTCAAATTCTTATTTCAAAACACTAACAGTAACACCCACCAAAACATCAAATTTCGAACATTGCAGTGGAATTTGAAAAACGGCCTCATGCCAGCTATTTTTATTGCCCAATAACGTATTTTTTGTGGATACGCGATCGAATAACTGATATTTTTTCAAATAAAAACTTGAACTATAAAATGAAATGATTACCGCGTATTTCATAAGTTGCATGTATGAGATTGAAGAGCATCTCCCAATCGCTCGAAGTTATCAGAGATCTAGTGAAAAAGTGAATAAAATTTCGTGCATACCGTAGCAGACTTATCAAAGTACAGTATATGCCGGCAACGTTCTGCAACCCAAACAACTGCAGTCCAGTCTCTCTCATCAGATGCTCGTAAAAAACAGGGAAATGGAATTGAAAACAGAAAACTCCATAGTTATGTTACAGTGAGAAATTTATCACCCTACTCACTACAGTTAAGTGAGAAAGACTAAAATCACGATATTCGTTTCATTCATACGTTTGGTTATTGCTATCAAACAAAGAATCCTCGGTCTTGCATGGTGACACCCTGCATTTAAGTCGAATGTTGAAGCATGTGTGTGACGATTACTACCGTAAAAGAGATGTTTGTCAGATTTAGTTTGACCAGCATCGTCTGTATATTTAAATATACATTTATACAGCATGGAAAGATAATCGCATTTCAATAGAGGCGTGACCGAGTTTATTCTTCAGTGAAGCTGCCCCCTCAGGAAGCGCGCCTCATTTTATAGCACGGAGCGCCGCGACTCCAGCAATGTTCTCTAATTACCGCTCTCAGGTTACCGCCTTTTTTTGAACCATCCTCAACTTAATTGATTCGCGAGAGTCTTTTTCTAGCGCTGAGGCACAGGAGCGCCGCAACAACAAGATGCTTCGTTAAACACGTATTCACTTTATTACTATCTACTCGACACTTCAGTTTTCATCAACTATGTATATTAATTAACAATTCAATTGAATGAGGAAATAGAAGCTGCTCAATTGGTCAAGTTGTTAGTCCTGTTGTATTGTATTTTTTTGCTCAAAATATGTTCAGTTAATGAATAAAGAAATATTATAATTCGGAGTTAGTTTAATAATTACATTGTGCGATATCAAAAGCTTTCATACCTGCGCGATGTTAAATGGTTAGGAAAACTCCAAGGCTGTGGGATAAACTTTAACTGCCCTAGAATTTCAATTAATATTACTACCGTTGGATTAAACGGCTAAATAATTCATTTCAAACTATTTGTAGAGCACAGGTTTGTAGCGCATTTTCTCGTTTAAGGAAAAAAGGCGCTGTTGTGCTCGTCATGTCCGTCCGTCCATGACTTCACGGACGGAAGAGAAAATGCGCTCTCTGTCACTCACTGCAGTGAGTACTGATCTAATTTTTTTTAATATTGGAGGTCACCACATTTTTGAGCTTTGAAAGTATAAACGCGTAAATATTATTTGAAGTGAGAATCGCATACTTGGAATAATTCTCAGTCAACCATTAGCCGAAGCAGAGAAATTCCCTGTAGCACTTCTTTCCATCGAGAAAACTACCAACATAGAATTGATAAAGGGCAATTATCGATATAGTATAAACTAAATCATTACATCTTTGTACTATTATCGAATAAAAGCAAGATTAAATGTACATTATGAAACTCTAATCCCAATTCAAAAAGTAGAAGACGTTCTTCCTTGAATTGCACTTGGATATAAGTAAAGTGGAAACGACATGAGGAACAGGCGCATCTTTTAATGTTATAACTGGCCACAGTTGAAGGCAACAATTGGTGTGAATATTTTATGCGGATGGAAAAAACATTTCCTGAAACCTAATTTTCCAGAATCATAATTAAAACATGTTGTACATGTTGTAATTGTAATTGTAAAACATGTTGTTTATGTGACCTGATTGATCATGGAAAAAATGTTAACAACAAAAATGGTAAGATTGAACTCAATAACCGCCAAGTTCTGCGGAAATTTATGACATAGAAATGAACAATGATATAGTGTAAGCACTTATATATCCTTAATTATTAATATGTTCAAATCATTATAAAATAGCATCCACGATATGATACAAGCACTGAAAACACATATAGATTTTACACAGGGGAACCCTATCTCGTGTAAAAATATCTCAATTTTATCAAATATTAACAATTTACGAATTTATTTTACATTTCGAAGGAGATTTGAATGCTGGCAGAAAACTTGAGAAAAATGTACAAATGTGTTAAATATTGATTAAATTTAGAGAATTTAACGAATTTAGTTCGTTTTGGTGGATTTGAACGATGGACTTTTTGTGATATTGACTCATGTATAATCTTGTTTCTGCTTTAGTAACACTAGATTATATATCATTTTTTTGTTTCTCTGACAGCAGTACTTGCTGAGGGCATAATGTAATTGGTGCAGATTACGTTAGTGATGTACCACTAAGTCGCTTCTGTCATGCTAGATCATAAAACATGAATTAATTTAGGCATATTCCACTTAAATACTTTGTACGAAGTATTCGAATTAAAATTTTGAAGAAATAACATAGTCGTGATTTTAATTTAGTTTTAGTGCAGGGATTTTAAATTATTTATGAATAAATAAATTTCACGAAGCACGATAAATAAAATTCACAGTTATGAATAATTAC